GGGTGTGGTAGCGCGTGCCTGTAGTTCCAGCTACTTGGAAGGCTGAGGCAGAAGGATCGGGGACCCCAGCAGGTTGAGGCTGTGGTGGTCGGGAGTGTGCCACTGCACTCCAGTCTGGGCGATGGAGTGAGACTCCAACTCAAAAAAAAAAAAATTCAAAACTAAAAAGTGCTCACAAAATAAACAAGCTTGACCATCACAAAAGAGTATAAGTAAAACTTGAAAGCTCATTCCACGCCAGTCCCATCTTGCTTCCCAAGCATAACCAATGTTAATAGTTTGTTACAAATCCTTCAGTATCTTTCCTTTTCATTGGGTCACACATCCTGTCTACTTAAACAAGTCTATGAATAGAGGAGGTTGAATGTACTATCCAGAACAAGCATCTACCTTTATACAATAACTGAAATGCTCATTCAACTAACATTAGGCACCTACCTGTAGAGACTCAACGAAGAATAGAACTCACTCTCTGTATCCTCATAATGCAGTGCACTAGTTCTTAATTTATCTTTGAGAGAGCAATTATGGACTCCTTTGGGAGACTGATGTGAGCTCTGAACCCTTTCTCCAGGAGAAAATGAACCTACATAAAATTTTGTCAGCAATTCAGAGGATTTATGGACACTCTGAGATCTTGTAGAAGTGAGACTTTTTTTCTTTTTAATCTGGAGTCTCACTCTATCGCCCAGTCTAGAAAGCCGTGGCATGATCACAGCTCACTACAGCCTCGACCTCCTGGGCTCAGGAATCCTTCTGCCTCAGCCTCCCAAGTAGCTGGGACTACAGGCAAGTGCCAACATGCCTGGCTAATTTTTTGATTTTTTTATAGAGATTAGGTCTCACTATGTTGCCCAGGCTGGCCTTGAACTCCTGGACTCAACCAGTTCTCTCACCTGGGCCTCCCAAAGTGCTGGGATGACAGGCATGAGCTACCATGCCCGGCAAGAAGTGAGACTTCTGAATTGATAATTTGACATAAATACTATAATAGAAGCATGGATAAGATGCCATGGCAGCTTAGCTCTATGGGAATGTGTCAAGAAAGAAAGGGAAGAGTGACACTTTCATAGAATCTTGAAGGACACTAGGAGTTGGACAGCTAGTCTGGGGTAGTCTTCCAGGGGCTTTCCAGGGGGCTGCTTGGTTTCCCATGGACCTCTCCACCTGCCAGAGCAGGAAAAAGAAAGAGAACATATTGGGTCAGGTTCTCAACACTGGGGTCTCATTCTGTGGCCCAGGCTGGAGTGCAGTGGTACGATCATGGCTCACCACAGTTTCGATCTCCTGGCCCCAGGTGATCCTCCTGCCTCATCCTCCCACATAGCTGGGACTACAGGCATGTGCCACCACCCTTGGCTAATTTTAAATAGTTTTTTTATATCAGCAAGGTCTCACTCTGTTGCCTAGCTGGAGTGAAGTGGCATGATGACGGCTCACTAGAGCCTCAACCTCCTGGGCTCAAGCAGTGCTCCCTCCTCAGCCTTCTGAGTAGCTGTGACTACAGGCATGCACCACCATGCCCAGATTTTTATTTTACTTTTTATTTTGCAGAAATGAGGTTTTGTATTCCTGGCCTCAAGCAGTCCTTCTGCCTTGGCCTCCCAAAGTGCCGGAATTACAGGCATGAGCCACCATGCCCAACCTGCATACTAATTTTATTATTATTTTTTGTAATTTAGGTTTTAAGCAGTGTAGAATAAAACAAGGTTTGTAAATAATGTCATGTCTGGTTCATTTCTATTTGCCTGTACTTAATTAATCTCCTAGACCTAACTAAAAATCCAATATTAGTCCTACCTTTCACTTCTTGGTAGTGGCTTCATAAAGTCTCAAGACTATTCACTTGATAAATTGTTATTATTTTTAACTCAAATTTTTACATATCAGATGCTATAAGGGTTTCAAACAGTAAACTGTGCATATGCTGCATATGGTATTTTGTGTGTATGATGTGTCTTATAATTTTTTTTTAATACAAAGAAGCATTTGATCTTTGTCAAAAAGTGGTGGTCTGGAAGATGTCTAAGTCAGTCTACATGTTTAGATAGTGAGCCTTTGTTGAAACAAAATTTACAACTTTGGTAAAACAGCACTGATTTTTCCAGCTTCCCTTTTCCAGCTCATTAATTAAAAAAAAAAGAGTTTCTTTGCTATTGATATGGACAAGTAAAGTTCTGTGTTGTTTTCTTTAGAGAAAGCAACAACCATAAACATCTCCTAAAATGAAATTAAATTAAACTTAAACTTGTGTCGAGTGCTCATTGCAAAAAGTTCTCAAACGTTTACATGTCAAAGAAATGTGAACACATGATTTAATGTATTTATCTTTAAAACGCAAGTCAATTTTGCACCCCTGCTATAAAGTATCTGAACATAAAAATACATAATGATTTGTAAAATTGTTGAAAAATTGAGTAAAATTGCTACTATAAGGCTTCCAGTTTAGCACTTTAGGATGGTAAGATATTATGCTTAGTGAAATAAGCCAGACACAGAAAGACAAATATGCATGATCTCATCTATATGTGGAAACTGGAAAAGGCAAACTCATAGAAGCAGAGAGTGAGCTGGGCTCGGTGGCGCAGCCTGTAATCCCGCGCCTTTGGGAGGCTGAGGTGAGTGGATTGCCTGAGCCCGCGGGTTCAAGACCCGCCTGGGCAGTGAGTCCTCATCTCTACAATAAGTCAAAAAATCAGCTGGGCGTGGTAGCGCATGCCTGTAATTCCGGCTACTTGGAAAGCTGAGGCCAAAGGATCACTGGAGCCCAGCAGGTCGAGGCTGCGGTGGCTGGAAGCGGCCACTGTACTCCAGTGTGGGCAACAAAGTGAGACTCCAACTCAAAAAAAAAAAAAAGAAGCAGAGAGTGGACTAGCGGTTACTTGACGGTCAGGGTGAGTGGATGAGGGGGGTGGCATAGAGTGATGTTGGTCAAAGGTTTCAAGTTTCAGTTAGACGCGGGAGTACATTTTGATATCTGTTGCACAGCTGGGTGACTATAGTTAATAATATTTTGTATATTTCAAGATTGCTAAGGGCGTGCATTCCAAATGTTCTCACCACAAAAATGATAAGAATAGGAGGTGATGGATAGGTTAATAGCTTGATTTAATCATACCACATTGTATACATATAATATTGCACTATACTCCATAAATATATACAATTACAACTTTTCAAGTAAAAATAAGAAAGAAATTTTTTCTAAAAAGAATACCCATTGTACCTACCAGTTACCTGTTAGGAACAATGGATATATGTAAGAAATGGTCTCTGCCCTGGCAGGGGATGGCGATAATGTGTGGGAAACAGACATAAAGACTATTGCCTGTAGTTCCCAGCAGGAAGAGATACTAATAATACTGGGGTATGAGAATTCGGTAGAAGTGGATTGACTCATTCTGACTTGGAGGATCCGGGGAGGCTTTGTAGAGAGGGAGATGCTTGAATGGATCCCTGAGGGATAAAAAAATACTTCATTAGATGAGGAAAGATATTTGAGGGACAGAGGATGGAAAGAACAAAGATACAGAGGCATGAAAGTGACTGTCACAAGGCATGAACTGTGATCATCTACACGTGCATATCACATGGTCTCACTACTGTAAGTGTTATTTGAAATACTCTGAAATAAACGCATCAAGTAAGTTCAGCAAGTCCAGTCGCTAGCT